GATTCAGTTGAAAGTTTGTACATACTACACTCATGGGTTATGTTTTTTTGTGTGACTCAGTCAAAGTTGATGAATTAACGGTAAATTTTCTGAAATCCTAAAATTGCAGTCTGTAAATGTGTCTGAAATCATTTCTTGCAAATGAACACGGCTTTGAATCAGCATCATACATATCAGGTTACAGGTGCACATAATTTTAACAACTGTTTCTCTGAATTGTCTTGCATGCATTCCATTCAAACTCACTACAATAATTATACATACTGGATGTTGGCTGAACATAACATTTTGTTAGTAATTCAACCTAATTTGCTCAGCGTTCTATAGTACATTGCCAGCAATGACTGATAGTATCACAGCACTATTTAGCCAAATGTACACCCACATTACTGGATAGTTGCTGGTAATGGAATTTGGCAATAAATACAGATTGGGGACTGAGCATTTTCATTGCTTATCAAACCACGTAACACTAAGCCAAATGTTATTTGTGGTACCGAATGAACACACATTGTGTCAAATGTACATTGTTAAGCAACGCACTGATCGAAGTTTAACAAAAATTCAATAATTGCTATTTGCATACTATAGTTTAGACTTTTATAAATTATTAAATTATGAAGAATGGGATAACAAATATCAGTGTTGAATGGATTAAAAAAATATGAGAAAAGTGATAAAAAACACAGATTATGGGTATTTAATAATTAATGCTGATTATTTCGGTTACTGTAAATTACATGTGCTTTATTTCAGCTGGAATCAACATTGTGGGTTCACTTCGCAACATTATCTATGATTTTTGATTGGTCAGTTGTATACAAAATATAGAACAATATTTTCAATTTATGTTAGCTTTGCAGTTTCTTTCCTTCAGTATTGCTAATGAATTCCATCAGCTTTGTGTTAACAGTTCTAAAGATTGTATCAATGTGTCTACTGATGCTGGTCAAATTCACTCACCGACTCACACTTTCATTTACTCTTAGATTGTACACTATCACACCGAGAGAGTCTTAGAATTTCAGAAAGCTTTAATCTTGTATGCTGAAGCAAAGATTAAAACTGCTCGAGATACGTATGCTTTACTCGCAAGAAGTATGAATAAACTGAAGGAAGTTGACTCAGCTTAGACAATAGATGATGTGTCAATGTCCAATCCTCTGACACCTCGAGAGAGGCCATTTTGAAACGTGACACTATTTTACCTCAATTCTTCCTTCCATATCAATATTTATGTATTATGAAGCTTACTCGATGTTCAAGCAACTTGTTTTCATCTTCACTGGAAGTAAGAAAAGTGGTACAAATAAGGCGCCCCAAAAAATTTTTCTGGTAATCATATACATCAAAGGTGAAAGGTGACATTTGAGGTTATGTAGGTCACTTCATTTTCTGAATAAAATCAGTAAATAAAAGCAGATTATTTAGAGGTTTTGTTGTCATATTCATTCTCATGAAAAAGTTATAAAAACGAAAAAATTAATCACTGCATCAATTTTGAAAACATTTTGTATGGGCTTTCAAACCATAAGTGCACCTTGTATAATATTGTATTTTTTGTGTAGATTGTGGCACTTAATTCTGTGTGTATGACCTTGTGTCTCATGCTACAACAGCTGTGAAATTTGCTCTTGTCATTCTGGATCATTTTTTTCCCTCCTAATTTTAATAATTTCCTTCTCAACCTTAATAAAAAGATTTCAAATCAAAATGGGTGGGAACTGTCAACAGTATTCTTTTTGTCTCAGCTTTACTGTCATGATCAGTCGCTTATTCAAAGGTTTATGTCAGAATATCTCAAATTTCTTGCATTATTTTGGTGCGCTCACTTCCTATGTGTAATTAACTGT